AATATAAAATAGCGACACTAATGGAGCAAAATGCACATTAGCCTTGACTTGTCTGAGATGGCGGTCGATAGCAAAAAAGCCGATATGGGGGTAAAATCCGATATAGTCTAATGGTGGTCTAGAATAGTTCATAGATAGTAATTACCTGTGTAAAAACGTGTAAGATACATATGTGAACTAAATAAATTCGTCCAACGTTGGGTAAGGCCCAGCTAGTCGTGTAAAAAAAAAAAAAAAAAAATTAATTAAATTTGAGTATAAATATAAGTAAAAAAAGATTTTTTTTTTGTAATAATTATTTTGAAAGTTTTTTTTATACATATTAATATACTGTAACTTTAATAAATACTAAATTATATTTATTTTTGTTAAATAAAGTATAATAAGCTTATAATATTAAAAAATATATAAAATAGATAGGTTTATAGAATATAGAGATATATAGAATAAAATTTATACAAAATCAAATTTTGTTGTATAAGTTATGCAAATTAACTTTAAAAGTATAAAATTAACTTTAATTATATTAAAAAAATTTAGGTTGTGTTAAATTAATTCAAGCATTAAAAAAATTATTTATTATATAAGATAATTAGTATTAAGTAAAAAATAACTAATATATATAAACCAATTAATAAATATAGAACTTGAAATCTTACTGAACTTGAATCTTATTAAATTAATATTTTCAGGAGCAAACAGAAAATATATTTTATAATAATATAATATATTTTGAAAAAGAATTATAACTAATAGAAAATATAAGCTTAATAATAATTGAACAATTTTGTCATGGAAAAAAAACAGCTTAAATTGATTTAATAAAGTTATATTAGACAAAAAAATTAAGGAATGATATATTTTTAAAAACAATCAAAACAAAATACAATAAAAAAAAATACAAACAAAAAACAATTCATTAGATAGATTAATTATATTCTTTTATTATAACTACAGTCGCACCTCTATTTAAAAACCAGATTGGAACCATAGTAATTTTTTTGAAAAAATGTTCTTATAAAGAGGTGTTCTTATATGGAGGTTTTTTTTTATAAGTTTAATAGTAATTGGTTCTTTGATGTGATGTTCTTAAAAAGAGGTTTTTATATGATATTCTTTTATGGAGGGTTCCTTTATGGAGGTCTGACTGTATATAATATTTTAATTAGAACAAACCTTTATTAAAACCTGCTATAAATCTATTTGCAACTTAAATATTATTTTATTTAAAATAATATTAAACAACTCATATATAGTTTAAATTTTAAGAAAAAATATTTTAAACTATAATTTTTTAAATAAGATATATAATAACTATAAAATCCTAGAAATATTAATATTAATTCTTTATAATTTTTATACACTTGAAAAAAAAGTATTAACTATATTAAAAACAATAACTACTTGTACAAGATAGAAAAAATTGTAAAAAGTTCAAATAATTAACTGAAATACAAATTAATTAGACAAATAGTTATATCAAAAGACTATAAAATAAACCTTATGAAAATTCTACTTAATAATAAGTTCCTAATAACTTTGATTCATAATCAATTAATCTGCTTCTATAAATTTTTTATAGATAGTTCACTTTTAAACAGAGAAACAAAAAAAGAAAATAGATGTCATTTGAATTTAAACTCAAGAATCTATTCTTTTTAGCAGCTTTCAATATAAAATTCAAGACTGGCTATTATTATTCAAAGTAAATTCTAATAGCAATTTTTATAGTTCAAGAGATAAAAAAGTAATTATTTATATAGATAACAAAGTTATATTATTATCTTCAATCTAGTATTCAAAGTTAACTTCAAATTGATTTATAAAAAATGGCTTAAAATTAATAATTAATCAATTTGATATAATATTTTCAAGATTTTAAATAAAAAAAATATTAGATTTAGTCTCAAAAAAATCAAAATATACTCTGGCAACATATTTAATAAATATATAGATTAACTTATCAAACAAGTTATCCAACTGCCAGCAATCACATGGACCTTAATAAGTAGCAAATATATATAAACAATTGTTATCTGATATAACAAAACAATTAATATAGCCTCCAGAAGTTTTATTAAAGAAATTAACAAACAATCAATTTGAAAACATGGATTAAGTCAAAAAAAATATAATATCTATTTGATTACCAAATTAATTAACAAGAAAAATTTGTCTGGAAGCAATTCTGGAGCAATTTTAAATTAAATGGATTAATCATATCTTTTAAAAAATATAAAAAAAAGAGTTTTTGGATCAAACTAATGTATAACAAAATCCATAGATCTATATACAATATACAATATATAATTGATGTAACAGATTTACTGTAAATTAAATTAATTAAAATAGTATTTATGTTAATTTGACTTAGGTTAAATTCAATAAGATTTTGATTTATTTAAAGAGACGGTGAATTTTAACAATTAGATTAAATCGTTATATTAAAATGAGATTTAATCTACTGTAATTTACAGTATAATAATCTTTAATAAAAAATAATGTTTGCTGTTTTCAATTGAGACTTTATAAAAGGTCATTAGCGTATTTTGTATTACAAGTGAAAAAAGCTTTTTATAAATAAAGTTTTTTTTCATAAACAAAAAATATTCTTAATCATATTTTTGAAAAAGGTAACTAACGAAAGTTTTAATTTGCTTGAAAAGTTGATTAGAAATTGGTATTACCGATCAACCCGTTAAATCATGGAACATTACCTTTACGGGGGTTCAAAATGTAATTTTTTATAATGCAAATTATAATTCGTGTAACGCCATCGGGGAAATGTCCTGTAGTTAAATTTAATATATGTACAGCCTATCGTATGTTTACAGTAGTTAATTCTTTTTTAATAATTGTTCGGAATATGCGAACATCTTGATATCTCTAAAAATAAAACAATACATGATTAGTGCCACTCGATATGTAATTTGTTATTAATCATTGCATGATTGAATAAGCTTAATTATATAAGATTCGAGAACAACAACGTGGCCGCTTTGGGTTTTCCATTCTCCCGTTTAGTAAAAAGAGTACAATCAATATTCGTAATCATTATCATTATAATTTATTCTTCATTTTTTTATTTTATCATTTTTTTCGTTTCTTAGTCAAGGTATTTTTTAATATAGTAAAATTTAACTTTTTTAAAAATAAAGATGAATTTTTTAAAGTTTTAGAAGCATAAATTCTCGAGAAATATTTATTTATGAGATAAACTTGAAATCATCATATAACTTTCGATCATGCACGTGTATAATACTGGATATACTGTATAAAATTACCTGTTTCTAGTGTATGCAATGTTAATCCGCAGAAATCGATCTACATTTCTGATATTTTCCATTATAGTTACCCATTCTGTATACCTAAGTTGACATTCACGAACGAATAGAACAAACCATAAGTACTCCGTAAATAAATTGCACCAAACTTAGATCGATTTGCAAAAACCGTGAGACTAATAGGGCCGATTGGCACCCCGCGTGTGGTTGTTTCTGAAATACTGTATTTGATAACCCTCGATCACAATACAATCTATGATTTTTGTTTCCATTATAAGTATATGTTAAGAAGAATTTTGTTATTGTACAGTTACAGAAAATGAATGAAATTCCGATTATCCCGATGTCGATACATTTTCAGGCGTGAGCTATTGGAACCAATGCATTTCCAACTAATTGGCGATCGTCGCGTCAAAAAAATAAGATTTGGTGTGCATGGCTTGCATCTTGGCTAAAAATCCTCATAAACTTGGTTAGGTAATGGGTCGAGAATGGTGTTATAATACATTGATTGTCTGGACTTTTTTAGCGTGAAGTTAGCGGTTATTTGTTATCCGCTTTAATTTCATACATCAGAATGCGAATCAAACTTGTAGGAGTTCTTGCTCGTTCGGACTTTATTCAAATGTGGTAATCATCCGATTAACTTAATATTAGATGCATATCGATTGCACGTTGATGGAAGGTCGAGAAATAATATATATATGTGGGCATTCGAACAAGAAAATTTCATCTCAAAGAAAACATTCTCATTAAAACCAACAAAACATGGGTTTATTACAAACAATCCTTGGTGGCGTCAAAGTTACCGATATTTTGATCGGATTACTATCCATAATCATTATATATGTAATTCACTTCTATTATAAATACTTTACCCGTATCAATCCATTCCCTGGTCCAATCCCAATTCCATTAATAGGCAGTGTTGCAATTTTCATAGAGGACATTGACGCCTGGTTTTATAGATTAAACAAAAAATACGGACGCGATGGTATATTCGAATTGAATATTGCTGGCAATAGACAAATCGTTCTTACACGCGCCGAATACATTGATAAATTCTTACTTAAAGATTCTTCGACGCATGTCATGAGAACCGCAAATAATGGTCTATTGGATTTATTTGACCTTGAAACGAAAGGAGTAGGACTGAATCATAGTTATAAGCATTGGAAATTCAACCGTCACATCTTCACACAGGCCATCATGCCGCTAGCTTTGACCAACAAACCCAGCGAAATTTTAAACCAACTGTTTGTAGAAATGGCACAGTATTGGATCGATTTGAAACAACCAGATAGCGACGGAACGGTTACCGACATAGCCATCTGGATGCGCCGTTTCACAACAGACTTTATATCTTTATTGACAACTAGTAAAAAATTTTCTGCCTTGTACTATTACTCTCAGAAAATTAAGAACGAACCAATAACCCAAGAGATGATCGATTCCGAAGAGTTTGTCGAAAACATAAATACATTTGTATCGGATAATCAAATTCTATTTGTACCAAAACTTTTAAGGAATATGCCCTTTATCAAACCCCGTGTGAACAAACTGTTGGATAATTGTCATCGATTCTATGATAGATTGGTGGATATTGTCAAGGCAAAGAGAAAAGAAATTGATGAGATCGTCAAGAATGGTGGTGAACTCGACACTAAACGGGCAGATTTGCTAACATCCTTAATCATTGCTAACACACAATATGATCCTCATCCACAAAAAAATGTTGATCCATCATTATCAAGACCAATGAACGACGATGAAATCCGTGGCGTCATGTTTGACGCGTTTGTCGCCGGTACAGATACAGTAAGTAATACTCTATGAGAACTGTGTAATCATAACATTTTAATACTCTATGAGAACTGTGTAATCATAACATTTAAACCGATCACCTATTAATATATGTGATTTATTTATTATTAAATTCTTAGACCGTAAACACTTTTTGTTTCGCAATATACTACCTCTCTCATCACCCAGAAGTTAAAAAGAAGTTGTTTGAAGAGATTGATACGGTCTTTCCAGATGATCCAAACAAACCGATAATGTTAGAAGATCTCGAAAAATTAAAATATGTTGAAGCGATAATCAAAGAAACGTCAAGAATAAGACCTACGGTCAGCATGGTTTCCAGATTCAGTAACCAACCCGACGAAATAGCAGGACACAAATGGCCATCCGACCAGCTATTTATAATGTACGTCCGTGGAATTAACAACAATCCAATTTATTGGAAGGATCCTGAAAAATTCATGCCGGAAAGATTTTTAAAGTCTCAGGAGATTCACAAAAATTCTTTTTCAATGTTTGGCGGAGGTTCGAGAATGTGTCTAGGCCGAAAGATTGCAATCATCGAATTGAAAACATTACTCACCGCACTTTATAGAAAGTTTGATGTTGAATTGATAGATATGAATGCACCCCTTGAAGTCGAAACTTCAACAATCACAGTCTGTAAAGGATTAGACATCAAACTCATTCCTAGGGAAAGAAAACAACCCATGACTAGGAGAATAAGTCGATCCAGAAACTGATTTCGGGACGTGCGAGAATAAATTGAATCATTAATTGCATATAGACATTGTTTAGTTTAGTTTAGTTTAGTTATACATAAATAATTATAGCATGTGATTTGTCTCTGGCAGACAACAGTTTTTTAAATAATAAATTTGGTGTCTTAATGAAAAACATTATATGAGTGAAGCTTTCGTTTTGCTGTTAACTTTTACACACACAGTATATTGTAAATTTTGAGCTTTGTATATTTCAAATCAACGATAACACCTTAATCCATATGTCACCGGAAAACCAATCATCTCTAAAATGATTAAGGACCTCTGATACGTTTTTTTTTTTTTTTTTTGATTTCTATCTATAACCTCTAATGACTCTACAGAGCGTGCAAGATATCGACGTAATGGGTTCGTCTTAACAACAAATATAATAGGACATTGTTTGAAATTCGCTTAATCCGGATAAAGTACCGCAGACGTTCTTTTGATTGGTTCTTGATTGATCATTAAATTATTAAATTACATTATCGATCGACGAAAAAATCTGATTTTCGGACGGAAATTATTTTGCCTTCTAACTTAATTTGATGTCATTTTAACATTTAACCACATTACGAATCTTCAAAGTTCCACTCCTTTTTTGTTCATCAAACAAAACATGAAACATTTTACCTTTAAGGGACTATTTAAATTTTGGAAAGTGGGGTTTTATTGTCACATGATATGCATAGAAATTCACGCGTCATTCTTAAATACTGTATATGAAAAATCATATAATATCTTGACAATTTCAAATAATCAATTGACTATACATATAGTATGTTATTTGATAACAATAGATTATACTGTATATTGTATACATTATATATGTTTATATATGTTTAATATTTTTAAATTAAAAATAAAATACTGCATATCAACTAAAAATAATTTATTTAACACGATATCAGTTGACAACCGTTTGACGAATTTGAATAAAAAAAAATATTTAGAAAAATTATAAGTTCAACTTATAATTTAAGATTTAAAATAATTATTACCTATTAGAATTAACTTTTAAATATAATATTTTTATTAGATAGTTTAAAATTTATTAATTTACTTTTTTTTAAAAATGTTAAGTGAAATATTCTCATAATCTTTATTAAAAGAATAAGTTTTAATATTATATGTTTAATATTGAAATACAAAAATATATTATTATATATACTGTATAATAATTATTATAATTTTTTGAACATATTGTATATAACTTTAATTATATGTACAGGTCAAGTCACAATTATATATAGAATTCTGACTTGTTTAAACAAGCTTTGTATATTGTAAAGAAAGTAAGTTAAATTCAAGTGTCACTTATATAGAACCTATTAAAAAAAACAGTTTTTGAAATATATTAATCATAATATAAAGCAATTTTATATTTGTAAAATAATAATATTGAAATATATAAAAAATTCAACAAAAAACTGATATTAATTGCTTTACAATATATTATAATTTCAAAAAATTAATAAAAATAAATACTTTGTAACAAAAATCAGATACAGAAAAATCAAAAATAATAAATAACAATACAATATGTTATAATTACAGTAGTGATTAAAAATAATAAAAATTTTAAATTAGTTATTATATTTTAAAATTTATTTAATTTTTATTCTTCTTTTTAAAATAGTTCATAAATTCTTAATTGGATTCAAATTTAAGCTATTTGTAAACCAATTGATAATATAAACATAATAAAAATCCATAAACTTTTAAGTAAATTTGACTTTATACATTAATATATTATCTTATTGAAAGTACTATTATATTTTAGCCTTGTAAATATATAAAAGAAGATGTTCAATAAGAATTTTGCAATATCTAATAACAGTAATAATTTTTGAGAACATATAGAATTTAATTAAACCTTATACTAAAAATACTATTTACATATAAATTTTATGCAAATATTTTACTATTGCTTTTTATAGTTATAATTCTATATCAACCTTATATCTAACTAATTTAGTATTTTAAAACATCTGAAAAGTTGTTTTATTTGAAAAAATTATTTGATTTCATTAATCATTAAGATAACAAAATATTTAATATTAACAAATCTTAATATATACAAATATTAATAATAGTATATATTGAAAATAAACCATTTTATCATTAAGAATTACAAGTTTATAATATATTGTTTATACTAATAGATTTAATCTATAATAGGTTTTATTAAAATAGATTGCAAGTTTAGCAAAGATAACATTAACTTGATATTTTATAATTTGATTAAAATAATGACATTATTTTATAAAAATGATTTTTGGTCAACTAAAATAAATATAAAGAAATAAGATTCCAGTTTTTTTGAGTTTGGATATATAGTAATAAACAATAGAAAGTGATATATAAATTATTACAACTATTTTTTTTGATTCATAAACTTTTTTTATCAAATGTTGCCTTATGATTATTTGTTAGTTTACAATTCTTAATTGAGATAACATATAATCAATTTATAAGACAAATATATATAATATGTAACTTATACAATATACAAATATTAATATATACAGTATATATAGTATATTTTAGAATAATAAAAAAATTTTTTATTATATTATAAAATTTTCAAAATAAAACAAATTAAGTCATATGATTAAAATTTTTATTATTTTTTGATCACTACTATAAGTAATTTTTCCTCTTATTTTCTGAAATTATATTATAATTATTTCTTAAATTTTTTTAAATAAAGAATAATATAAATTATAATTATTAATATTTTTATAAATTTATATAATTTTTTTTACAAAATTAAATAATTGATAAGTTTTATACTTAAAAATATTATTTTTGTTTTATTAATGATACAAAATTATTTTTCTTTATGAAAATTGATTAAGATTAAATTTTAATTTTGAGAAAACTGCTACTTATATTAATTACAATAAGTTTGCTATTATTAAAATATTTTAAAAATTTTATCAACATTAAAATTTAAATTACCTATAAAAATTTAATCATTATTACATTATAACTTTTAATTAAAACAAAAAAATTTTAAATATAATTGATAAACAAACTTATATAACTAGTATAAAATAAAAAGAAAACTTGAAAATCAAAATATTATATTATTTTTTTATTTTTTTTTAAACTTGCAATTAAGCTAATATTATTTATTTATTAAATAATAGAATCATTACAAACATGAAAATACAAATAAAGTATAAATCTTCTTAACCCAGCTTACTTTGTTAATAGCCGAAGTCTCTAAATATGATTTATAAAGGTAATATATTGTTTTCTTAATAAATAGAATTAATATTCAAAGTTTTCAATAGAATTAAAACCTGCAGATCACCTCTATAGTTATGATTATATATGTGATGTAAATTATTTCACTGTTGACTCAATTGCCAAAATTCTCAAAAATAATTGTATCTAACTTAATTATTTTATATATTTTAATAGTGACTCAATTAATTGCATCAAATAATTGTATCAAATTATGTCAAGGATCTATCAATTTCTATCACATATATAGTTATGACTATACATGTAATATAAATTATTTTATTGTTGACTCAATTGTCAAAATCCTCAAAAATAATTGCACCTGACTTAATTATTTTATATGTTTTAATAGTGACTCAATTAATTGTATCAAATAATTGTATCAAATTACATCAAGGATCTACTTATTTCTATCACATATATAGTCATGACTATAAATTCAAATTATATTAATCCTCTCTTATAAAAACTATATAAGAGAAAAGAAATAAAAAAAGAAATTTTAGGAAAGGAAAAAACAATACAAGTGTGCATAAAAAAAAGAGAGATTAAAAGTAAAAAAAGATATTATCTATTCTAACTATTATTAAAAAAATTATCTCTATAAACAAAAATCTCAAGTTCCTTATAATTGTTATTACATTTACTTTTATTACCTATGGTTTATCAAATTGTTTAATTTTTATTGAAGTAACAATATCCAAGAATATTTAAGGGTACTTCTAAAAGAGTATTTTTTTAAAACTTTATATTCAAAGACTTTTAATTAGAAGAATATTAATTTTCTATTGTTGATTTCTTTTTCAAACCATATTTTCTAAAATTATTGCTTCACTTAACTGTTGAATAGTTTCAAGACCCTTTCTTCAACTATTTTTAGAATAAATAGTTATTATTTCAATTTGTTGTCAGATTGGAATAAGACTTGAATCTTATATCTATTTTTTACCTCTAGAAAAAATAAAAAAAAAAAAAAAAAAAAAAAAAAAAAACAAAAAAAGAAAATTGTTTTTTTTTTTTTAAAAATTCAAATTTAATTTAAAATTTTTATATTAATTATTTAAATAAAAACTATTCAACTTTTTCAAAACACAATTATATTATTGATTTGGTATTGCATAACTAAAAACATATAAGAAAATATATCTTGTTTATTTTTTTTCTAACTGATATAATCAACCAATTCATGACCTTAATCAATTATCTTTCAGGAGATCTGGTGTAACCAAAAATTCGGGGTCAAACTGAGATAGGTAAAATTCCTTAAAAAAATCAGAAAAAAAAAGCATGCTTGAGAAAAAAGAAACAGAAAGTCAAAAAGATAATAAAAAAATTGAAAACCTTTTTTTTTTTATTTTTTTGAATTCTTAAACCTCTTGAAAATCTTTAAAGAATATTTTTTCTTGTCAGTTTTCTTCCTAGAAAGGTGTTCTTGCCATAGATTTTTTAAGTAGGTTTCTTGTATTTAGTTGCAAAAATAAATAAGAAAAGTGTTTTAAAAAGAAAAAAACAAACAAATAATAATTGTTACTTATTTTATTAATTAGAAAACCAGTATTATTAAAAAAAGTATATAGACTTTATTATTATAAAGATATAAATCTTTTGAAAATATCTGTTTTTTGAATTGGCAAAAGAATTAATAGAAAGAATTTATTATTTTAAAATATTTATATTGTTATAGAATAATTAAATTCTATAATATTATATTATTTATATATATTTTT